GGGGTGGGGGTGGGGGGGTGGAGTCAAAGGTCTAATCACCTCAAAGCGAAACGGCCTGCGCTTCCCGCACCGACGGCCTTTTGGAGAGATTCGTTTGGAGGACGGAAACGATTCGCAAGGGCATTTCTGTTCCACTTTCAGGCGGGGGCTGTTCGACGGGAGAAACGCGAGAATCCGTTTCTGGTATTTGTCCTCTTCTCGCCATCATCGGCAGCTTGCGTCTTTTTTTTTTTTTTTTTGTTGTACAGATGATATTTGCTCCGTGTACAGCACTTTGTATACCGCGCTGGTTGTTTTCAAATGTTCTATACTGTAAATAAACTTGAGTTGAGTAGCCCGGGGGACACCCTGAACCGGTGGCCAACCAATTGCAGGGCACACAGGGTACCAACAACCATCCACACTCACACCTTGGGACAATTAAGAGTGTTCCATTAATCTGCAAGTTTTTTGGAATGTGGGACACACACACACACACACACACACACACACACACACACACACACTCGGGCCTTTGTGCGTTGTTTTTGGCAGCGCTCTGCTTTGTGCAACCATCTGTCTCCTACTTCTCTCTTTTTCTGACTCCCCCGTCTCTTCTCCTTCGCTCTCCCTTGGCTCCTCTGCCAAAGACGCCCGATCGCAGGAGTTTTTCTTCTTCCTCTTCTTCCGCGCTCCTCCTTTTGAAAATCCGACGGCGCCTTGTGAAGTCGCGTGGCTGTCTGCCGAAGAGTGTGCTGATACGGGTACTGTCTGTGCGCGCGAGCGAGCGTGCGCGGCGGGGTTCAGTGGAAGAACGTCATCTTTCAAACGCAAGGAAAAGACCAGCTGCTTGGAACTGTCCACACTCCAGAAAGTGTGTGTGTGTGTGTGTTCCATATGTGAAATGATCAATATGAGCCTGAACGCATTCTGATGCATGATGCCACTATACGTTCATTTTGGGGCCACTTCAATACTTTCTCCCACTCTCTCCACCCCCCGCCCCCCTCCTGCATCCTCAGCAGGTCCAGGGCCAACTCCCGCCGCTGATGATCCCCGTCTTTCCCCCGGACCAGAGGACCCTGGCGGCAGCGGCGGCCCAGCAGGGCTTCCTCATGCCGCCGGGCTTCAACTACAAACCGGGCTGCAGTGAGTGCCGTCGATCGACGTGGAAAATAAATATATCGGGCTACATACGGAAAAAAAAAATGAAAGTTAAGGAGATGGGTTGGGGGAGGGGGGGGGGTACTCCACTTCGAACTAAAAAGTCCCAAAGGTTTCTGTTTATAGGCTGCAGACCCTCGGGAAAGACTTTGTACACCGCTTGTCATTTGCTTATCTCCCTCGTTCCTTCTTCTGGCTCCAACCGTTTGTCTTCTATTTTTCAATTTCTAAAAGCAACATGACTTTTTTTTCCTTTTTTTGGGGGGGGGGGCGGGGGGGCGATCACGCTCCGGCTGTGTGGCAATGTGTTGTTTACCACGATAACGGGAGAGAGAGAGAGAGAGAGAGAAAGAGAGACAAGTGGGCACATGCCAGGAGATGCTGGGAATAAAATGCTCCACGGGGGGTTAGGCAAAACGGAGAGGGTGGTAGGTGGGGGGGGGGGCGCTTGGGGGAGGGGTGGTAATGTGACCTGCCCCAGGTTCTCTTCACATTAGCACGGGCCGCAGCCAGAATGGGTTTCCAACACAGCCCACACACGCGCGCAAGCATGGAAGCCAGGGATGCATTTAATACCGACACAAATAGGACGCAAGTGTGCCCACCCCCCACAAAAAAAAAAAAAAAATGGAGAATTTCACAGCTTCCCCAACAAGTTTGCTTCATTTTAATTAGAGCCACCCACAGCTTTGAAGCCCACCTAAAGCTGCGGTCAAATGGTGGGCTTGTATTTTCGCAGCTCTTTGCCAATTCGTACTGGACGCAGAACATTCTCTGGCACACTTTTCATCACGTTGAACTTGCATATTGTCACGCTTATGGAGCGCCCTGTACAGTGAAACCTGCATTTGTAGAAGTTTTACTCCTCCCACATGCTTCCAAAATACTTTTTTTTCCCCGCAAGTCTTTCTCACTCACGAGCAAGACGAGAAGTTAAAATTGTGCTCGCTTCGAGCTGACCACCAGAGAATCAAACATTTCAACGCGACCGTCGACCAAAGCCTGCTAGCTTCGTGCTAACATAATGCGAGACGCCCTCGACTTGCTCACGCAAATTAGCAGAGGCAACTGTAAATTTTGACACTTCAAACAACCGCGACTTGAACACGCACAAGAGCAGACAACAACGATTACTCGAGTTGGTAGGGGACCTTCTCTGCCTCTTTGCCTTGCTCTTAATTACGCCTCAAGTCTTACATTCAACTTTTGTACTGTTCATACAGTCAACGCTAACGTGTTGGTACACAATAAAACAAACAAACAAAAAAATCGGTCGAATGGCCACAAAATTAGGTACACATCCACCCACGACAATGGTGACGTTTGGTCGCCTGACATGAAATCTCCGTATGGGGAGAAACTTTTGAGACCCGTCTCACGAGTGAATGCGCGTGTGCCTAATGGAGTGTCCGGTGAGTGCTGATGATGTCGACGGAGCGGGAGAGGCGAAAGAGGGAGGCGAGTGGTGCAATCGGTGGTGGCGGCTCTTAATTACAACACCGCGGCCCGCTTTATCCCGAATCCCCTCACCTCAGCGCTCTTTGTCGGAGGGTATTAGCGGAAGGAAGACACACAATCAGGCTTTTCATTAAGAGCCGCGCGGCACAAAGGGCAGCTTTAACAGCTGCACAGAAAAAAAAGGGGGGGTGGGGCGGTTAGAGGAGTGAGGGCAAGGAGGAAAAATAGAGATTTAACAGCTACCAGTGAACCCTGCTTTATGTTCTTGCTTTAGGGGGAAAAAAGTTCAAGAAAAAGCTAGCGCAGCAAAATTGCGGGGGATTTTTGAAATGGGACGATTTCCATGTGGCATGAACAGGAACTGACCAAAGCAAAAGATTGGCTTTTGATAGCTGGGCAACGAATGCCAATCATGTTTAATGCAAGTGCAGCCGTACCTTAAAGTGGAGCTTCGGATGTGCCGCCGATCCTGGAAAGAGAGAAAAATAAATCAATAAAATTTCAGCAATGAGTGTTTGCAACAATTTTGTTAAAACAGTCGTTATCACTTGACAGTAGATTAAGAAAAACAAAACAAACAAAAAATACATAGCTGGCCACATTTCATGTACAAGAAACCACCGCGCGCCAAGAAAAACAACCAATCAGAGAAAGGAGACGTGCCCTAATAATAAGTTACCTTAAGTATAAACATGTCTCATTGTCATTACACACTATTTCTAAAAGGCGTTTTTTTTTTTTTTTTTGAACAACATTTCAGGTACATTTTTTTTCAATATGAATTCCAACCGAGCAACAAATACTTGCGAACGAAGTAAAGTTTGGGTATGCATATCTACTTAACTCCATAAACGCAGGAGAGAATCAAACGAGTTTTTGCCGATTGTTTTTGCTGATTAGAATATAAGTGAAAGACAATGACACAAAAACATGACCCCTCCCCCCCAAAACTGTTTTGACTTTAATTCATTTCTTAATCAGATTTAAAGGAAGTTATTTTAACCCTTTCATGCACCCTGTAAACTGATAACATGATCAGCCGTCCACTGTAGTGACCGCTGTCCCCCTCCCCACAAAAAAAAAATATATATAGATATATATATCTATCTATATATATCTATATATATATATGTGTATCACAAAAGAAATAAGTCTTGCTTAATTCGTCAAACCTTCATGAAAATGACATTGTGTATGGAAAAACCATGACC